ATGTCTCATTACAGAACCGGAGGTGCCTCTTTAAACACATCTAACCACCAGACCTTCAAATCACTGGTTCTTTTCTCTAGATTTAATATGAAAAAAAACCCAAACCACTTGAAGAAGTGCATAAAACAAAGCAGTAAAACCTTCTCAAAAGTGTGATACAGTGACACCAGTCATGTAAGCAACCATCTATTTCAAGCACACAGAATTGTAATAACAGAATACAGAAGAAAATCTCACACAAATCTAGTATCATATTGCACATTACCACCCTGAGTGATGATTGAATGACAAGGCCAATCTATGGCTTCTTCCTCTATCAATCTGTGCAGCTCAGAAACATAACCAGAGCAAGTGGTGCTGACCAAGCCTCTTCATACTCTAAGCACTGTCTCACCTGATTAATGTTTTTTTTGACTGAAAAGCAATGCTATTTTGTAAGAAGAGTACCAGCACTGTGATGTGCACTTCTTGAATTTTCCTGGAGCATAAGAAACTGCACATCATGAAAGATGCCAGAATTTTTAAAAATACAGAAAATACCTACTGTTAAAAGGAAAGATTTATTAGATATTTTCTACAAAAATAATAGCTGTGACTTTCTTGTGTGCAGGTGTTACCAGCTATGGTTACTACTGTCATTATTTAATTATTCATTACAGCCAATGTTCCCCTTTGGTTCTGTCTATGGAGTGCTATCAGAAAAACAGTGAGAATATTCTGTCTGTTTCTTACTAAATCTTCTGTTTGAAAACGTCATATGATTCAAGACACCATGTCTTTGAAGGGTTTCCTGAAAATCATACCTTCACTAGAGTCTCTTGGCTGCAGCTTTACTGTGGAAATTCCACATTATAATCAAAAGGTTTTCCACAGTATATTTACCATTATAGGAACAGGCGAGTTACTCTTGACAGATATAAATGTCGCTAAAGACATCTATCTGTAAAACTGAGCATCTCTACCACAATTTTACTTTCTTGCAGACTTCTCAATAGAACAGTTAGCTGAACTGTTACGAATCATGTGCACATTCATACTTTTGCTTCAGATCATATGTTAAAGAATATTCACCAAAGAGCCCCATTCTCCTTCATCAGCTTTTCTTTTTAACATGATTGTTTTCTGTACTATAAGGGATTTTTCACCCCCAAGCTATCTCGATCTGCTCTTCAAAAAGTCCACCTACCAGGTGACGGCATGTGACTAGATTAAGAATAAAAGAGGAAGCGGACAAAAACGGTAGCAATCCTATTTACTTTTTGCTCTAAACCTTATCTTTTCCTCTCCTTAACCCAAAGATTACTACATCTGTTGAAGTTTCCCTTATAGAAAAGCCCTAATTCTGTAGGTCTTAATAAGATGCTGAATCATACCTTGATTTTGATGAAACCACAAACAATGCAAAGACAAATAAAGGGCTACTCATTTTGGTTTATGCTGGTTTAATAAAACTACAAGATTATTGTTTTTTATCACCTGTTAAACACTTAAGGACATAGCTAATACACTAAAAAGAACTGAAACAATATTAATAGTGACTGGAAATATAATACAGTGGAGAGGTAACAGTATAGGAGGTTCCTAGAGCGTGTGGAAGATAACTTCCTGATAGAACTTGCGAGTAAGCCAACTGGAAAAGGTCCCCTGATGGATCTCTTGTTTGTGAACAGAGAAAGACTGGCAGGTGATACGATAATTGGAGAACATCTTGGGCACAGTGATTATGAAATGATAGAGTTTTCAGTTCTTGGAGAAGTAAGGAGATGGGTCACTAGAACTTTCACCTTGGCCTATTTACGACACTGGTTAAGAGACCCCCTTGGCAGGCAGTCCTGAAATGTAAAAGAGTCCAGGAAAGAAAGAAATCTTCAAGGTGTCAGAGTAGTCCACCCCCATGTGTGAAAGATGAGTCAGCAGGGAACACCACCAGCCTGGATGCACAGAGAGCTTTGTCTGGAGCTTGGATGTAAAAAGAGAGTTTACGACCTTTGGAAAAAGGGGCAAGCAACTCAGGAGGGCTACAAGGATGTTGTGAAGTTATGCAGGCAGAAAATCAGAAGGACCAAAGCCCAAGTAGAACTTAACCTAGCCACTTCTGTAAAATACAATAAAAAATGTTTATATAAATATAGAACAAAAGGAGAGCTAAAGACAATCTCCATGCTTTTCTGGATATGGGGAAAAACATAGAGACGAAGAATAAGGAAAAGGCTGAGGTACTTAATGCCTTCTTTTTCTGGGTCTTTTATAGTAAGACCAGTTGTTCTTTGGGTACCTAGCCCCCCAGGCTAGAAGACGGGGAGAGAGAGCAGAACTGAAGCATCAGTTATCTAAGGGAAAACGGTCAGTTATCTGTTATACCACTTAGATACACCCAAAGGTACTGAGGGAGCTGGCAGAAGTGCTTACCAAGCCACTTTCCATCACTTACCAGTAGTTCTGGCTAATCAGGGAGGTCCCAGACAACTGGAAGTTAGCAAATGCGACACCCATCTATGAGAAGGAGTGGAAGAAGAATTCGGGGAATTACAGGCCTGTCAGTCTGACCTCAGTGATAGAGAAGGTCATGGGACAGCTCATCTTGAGGGCTATCACACAGCATGTGCAGGACAATCATGGGATCAGGCCTCCCCAGCATGTGTGTATGAAAGGCAGGTCCTGTTTGACCAACCTGATCTTCTATGACAAGGTGACACACTTTGTGGAGGGAAAGGCTGTGCATTTTTTCTACCTGGACTTTAGTAAAGTCTTTGATACCATTTCCCACAGCATTCTCTCTGGGAAAACTGGCTGAAGAGGTCTTTCAGAATTCAGTTACTCAACAAGCCATTAAAATAATATAGGAAAAAGGAACCACCAAGTGCATTTTCACAGTATTTGTTATTTGAAGAGATTTATAAATAGTAGTAATACTTGATTTTGCAGCTATCCTCAAGAACGGTCATTTAGTTGAACACCAGAATTCCATGCTAAAACAGGATTCAAGGTAGCATAATGCTAGATCCCAAGTGATGGTATCAAGCTAAGGAGCTAAAATGCCTAAACCAGTGCATGACAGAAAGGGTAAACTAGTCCTCCATTTTCCCTTATCAGTAGTAAAGCTATAGCCTCCCAACTGTACAGTGCAGGAACACTATTTTGTTAGGTTCACAAAATATAAATAATTAAATGATTGACAGATATTTCCAATTGTACAATTTTTAGCTTATGAAAAAGCTTATGAACTTTATGTTTTATTTTGTTCAACTTGCAGACATACACATGGAAAATCTCTATCTGGATTTCAAACCATTTTTAGTTAAAATCCTCATCTTCCTACTGAACTGATGCCAAGACTTTCACTAGTCAGATTTTAAGAGTTAGATTTTTCACAGACTTTCATTAGCAAACAGAAGAGTTTCTAATTAGAGCAGAACCACTGAAAATAGAAATATTAGGAAACCATTCAAATCAAAAACCAGAGCTCCATTACAACTTTATGGTAATTATGATTAATCTCTGCATAGCTACTCTTCGATCTGAACTTTTTTTCTCAGTTTATTTCAGGAAAACTTGCACACTTATTTCTCAGGTAAACATCAAAGAAAACAGGAAAACACGATTTGAGATGTACACACTAAAACTGTTTTTCCTTGAGCGACACACTTCATTGGGAAAAAGTGCTACTGAATTTCTCTCTGAATGGATCTGCGCACTTAAAAGTTTCTGGCTGGAATATGGAGTTTGCTGGACTAAGGACAGAAGCCTTACTGGATTAAATGAGATGAGAGTTTTACCCTTAACATACACAAGATTTTAGGAAGGATACTTCTGATTTAAAGACTTCTTATCTGGATGAGAAACTTATCTAACTCATCTGACCTGGTGTTACAACTAAGAAAATGATCCAGCTGGGTCCTGTGAGTAAGTTATGCTGCAAACCCTGGATGTGCTGTAAACTCTCCAAAAAGCTGTACTTCCCCAGCAAATTTCCTTTCATTGCTTTTTCACAGAACACACCTCTCTGACATGACCAATGCATTCATTTAATTTTTCTTTTATATTTTATCTTCCAATTTATTTTGGTTAGAGGTAGAATTTTTCTGTTAAAAAATGACCTGATCCTAGACGTAGTTTATTTAAATTTCAAAATGAAAAGCTTACTAAGAACAGATAAGATTGATTGCTCTTTTCAACTTAGCATAATTGTATTTCAGGTGAACATCAATTTACTTTAAAGGACACTTCTAAGTAGCAGGCTGCATCATACATAATTCATCAATCACAGCTGCCTTTAACACGACTTACTCAAGCAGATTTCAATGCAATAGAGGGAGTCACATTGTTTTTTATGCTTTGGCTTGTTTGCTTTTAAATAGTTTACGAAATGCTCATTTGTGCTGAATTATTGCTGAAAAGATTTCATCCTTGGTAATCAGCATGTTGAATTTCTTTCTCTTTGTATAGAAATGTTACCTCTTTAAATTTCTTTTAAAAGGCAGAGTGAGTTTTCAAAACATCATCAAGGCAGAGAGCACTCCATGCTCATCAAAGGTAAAAATAAAGCTCAAGGATTTTGCTACGGAGGAAGGGATGGCAAAAATATTTATCTGAAAAGCATTATTGGTTTTAGGGCTGTGTATTTTCTAGTTAGCTTGATGTTGTTATTATTTGTTAGACCAGCAGTCAAATGTAGGCGAAGAGTAGCTACTTCCTCAGCAAGTCCTTTACGCAGCTGTCACACGGATAAAATGGCTTCTACATGGCTATGTACACAAAACAGACACAAAGCCATGTGCCAATTAGAGTGCAATCACTTCATACACCAAGAAACATAGGTGAAACAGGTGGCACTGCAACGTGTGTTACACTACTCAGCATCTTCCATCAAAGTCAGTTCAGGGACATGGTGGTGCCTCAGATGGTCCCGAAGTAAAGAAACATTTCCACAAACAGATAAAAATATAGCTTCAAAAGAAAAAAGAGAGAGCAAGAGAAAAGACAGAAATGCCTTTACTTACTTGTAAGCCCATCTGAAACACAGAGTGACCCATAAAGTTAGCCAACATTCTAATTAGAGCTGCACCCTGTGGGAAATAATGGAAAAACAAAGAAGTTACCAGTTTTGAATGTCAATATAATACAATAATAACAATCTGAATTAGGCATTTCCATCCAACAGTATCATCCTGGAAACCTGTGACTAATATAATCTTCATTTGTGCTGGAATGAAAAAGAGAGAGAGAAGATAATGCAAATAGTTACAAGGAAAAGTGAGGAAGCAAACTGATATTGTTAATATCCTGTCCCATATACTGAATAAAGCACAGGTGACAAAACACACTTTCTCCCCTGCTTGAGCATGGATGTGTCAGGTCCGCAGCTGGTTGACCCCAGCCCTTCTACGCACCTACAGAAATGCCCAGTTTTAAATGAGAGCAAAAAATAATGTCCATGCCAAACTCTACCTCAGTGATTATTCATAATATTTTAATCTCCATTACACCATTGTACATCAGGATTTAGTGATACTACTGTCCTTTGTAAAAGCCTTCAAGATCTGATGACTGGAAGTGAATCATTTCCATAAGAGTTTTATAATATGTGGATATATATATTTGACTTATTAATAGTCAGCTTATTTTCCAGACTGTCATGCAAAGAGGTAAGTACTTGTATAGCACTCTTGCTCTGCTTATACCAGTTCTTATCCCTTTGCCCCTTCAGGCAAAGCACAGAGATCTAAAAGACAGGTGATTCTAATTCTCAGTACTTACTGCAAGAAACAGACAGATACTTGCCAGAGTAGCTTTTTTTAAGGTGTACTTTTTGTATTTTCTCACTCTCTCTCAGAAACACAATTGCTGTATATTTTCTCCCTGCATAAGTGCTCTCTTTCAAGCAGAAATACCTTTGCAGATCTGATTTGACAATTTAGCTGTAATATCCCACTCTGTAATCTAATTTCAAGACAACCAGTCTTCTAATCCCATTAATCAAATGTTATACTTAGTACTGATCACCACGTGAGAGGGAGGACGCTTGTGATTTCAAGTCAGTGAATCAAAGGCTGTAAGAAAATATGACAATAGAACTCTACAACCTCAGCAGGAGATGAAGGTTCAGGAATTAGCTTAACACTCAATTAGAAAATAATAATTAACAAAAGAGAGAAACATTTCATAGACTCAAAAATTCACAGATTCTAAAGCCAAAAGGACTATTACAAAAATGTAATCTCATTTCTGCATTAATAGAGGTCAAACAGTAATTTAGGCAAAAACCCTATGGCTTCTCTTTACACAACAGCATCTATTTTAGGAAGATTCAAGAACAGGAAAATGTTTCATAGTATTACACAGTGTATCACAACTAATATTTACTCTCACAGTGAAAATACGTACCTTTTTACTAATTTGAATTTATCTAGCTTCACTAATTTGAATATATCTAGCCTCAGCTTTCAAAACAGGAATTTATGTCTTTTCCTGCTAGATTAAAGTTCACGGTATTTTGGGGATTTAATAGTTGTCCAATTTTCAGACCATATTATACATGTTCCACGCATTTTTTATATAGTGACTATCTTTTAAGTATTGAAGGGATCCTCTGTAATAAAAAAAATTTGAAATAATGACATAAATCAAAAATATTTGTAAATTAATAGTAAATTTTAAGAAAATACAGGTTCTTCATACAGGCAACAACAACGAATGCTATATAGTTAGCAAAGTAATTGAAGCAAAAAAAAATTGAGGAGATGTGTGCAGTGGTATATAATCTTGCGGTGGTATATAATCTTACTGGAAGATCAGTCAAGTCTGGAACACATAGCAGAACAGAAAATAATTCCTGTCAAAATAGATTATTATCTGAACACACAAGACCATAGGTCAGGAAGCATTATTGCCCTTATTTTACTAGAGGAACAGAATGAGTAAAGTTCTCAGAGACATTTAAGCAGATAAACAGCAGATAAATCTGTTTAAGCAGACAGATTAAAAATATCTAATAAATAGATAAATCCTATTTATCCTGTAAGTAACGGGCAGGGCAGCCCAAAACATCTGTAGCAGAATGAAAAAAAAACAAACCATAAAATATAAAAGGGATCAAGCAAAATCCTTAACAAGAAGATATTTTTCCATTCATCACACATCCCTTTTCCTACTCACTTGTTAGTATTCCAGGACACCCTTGTTTCTTTCTCACAGTTTAAATTTCACACAGTAGCAAAGACATATATTTATATAGGCAACTTAACTCTACTGATTTCTGTGAAAAGTAAGCAAGTAAATACTCCCATTTAATCTTGCACACTGAGTCTATTTTTATATCCAGACTCCACGAACTATAACATGTAAAGAAATCATAGAATTAGTCTCATAGGTAACATTTAGACACACATTGGAAGGACTGTGGCTGGCCTTCACACAGAAAACAAAATGAAAAAGCAAGTAAAGACTGAATAGCAGAGTCAGTGCACAGAGGCGGGACTATTCTCTCAAGATAGACCTTTTTTCACAGCTTCTTTAGAAGTACTTTCTACCAATTAATTACCTTCAGGAAACCCAGAAACCGTACTTACAGCTTCCAGAACAATATGCTTGTCCCAGTTCTGCCATCTCCCCCACTCAGTGAAAGCAAAAGTTTTCTTCACTTATTTAAGGAAGGGAAGAGATTCTAAAGAAAAATGGGAAAACAAAAAAACAGAGACCCTCAAGAGGGAAAAAGCGTCTGGGAGAGAAAGGAAGAGAAACAGGAGCAAACAGGAGCAACAGCCCTTGGTGTGGAGGGAAAAGAAATGGGAGGAAACCACTCATTTCACCTTTCTTGCACTTTTGAGAGCAGGCAGAACAGAGAACAATGATACATTTGTAAGAAAAGCAGAAGCAATCAATACATTCAGAGCTCTGGGAAGGGAAGAATACGGTAGTAAACACTGGCACTCTGACTGGAGAGGAAGAGAAATAGATTTGCAGGCAGAAGGATAAAAAGCAAGAGATATAAAGGTATAAAGGAGCTTACTAAAAGGAGGAGTTCGGAAGATGACCCTAACCAGAGGGTTATGGGAGGTAAAGAAGGTATGTGCAGTAAGTTCAGTTATAGGCACAATGGCTATAACGACCCAACACCTTGGGGTCGTCCGAATGGCCCAGAGTGCTCGCATTTTCACTGCCTACCTGCCCGCCAAGCAGTGAACTAGATGGAGTCCAGAGGACCTATGGTGCCATACCTTCAGAAAAATCACAACAAATCTCTCCTGCTGCAGAGGATGCCCTTTGGAACCCGGTAGCATCACTCTCTGAACACCGTGGCATGCAAGCAGTCTGCCCTCCACTTCACTTCCAAGGCCACTTCTGCTCTGCCAACGTTTGTCCAACTGAGGAACAATGTATAGTCTTGAGAAACAAACTTGCCTCTCCTATGGGGCACAATGGCTATTTATTGATGATTTTAGTACTTTCCTCCAGGTAGTGGATGAGTCAGTACCTTGTCAAGAGGTAAAGCATATTGGTTTAAGAGGTTTGGTGGAAAGCAATTCTTTCTTATTCAAAAAAACATACCTCTGTTCCTGCCAGTGTAAAATCTAACTCACCTTAAGCCATTGTACCATATCTTAATATGTCTACTCAGGCAAATACCCTAGTTATTAATTCAGTGATTAATGGCACTACCTGGCTCTGGTGAAGCACTGCTTATTAGCAGATCTCAGTATTCTGCTAATTAAAGGGAAACTGTGGCACACCATAGTGAAATCATTTGCCAAAGATCACCCAGCATGCTCCTTGCATAACCTATGACACAGCTGAAGCTTCCTCAGACTCAGCACTGTGCCTCCACTGCTATAGCAAAGGAAGGTAGAACATATTGGCTACCACAGGGAAATTAAGTGCTCGTAGAGCCCTTTTTTGCATAGTGCTCTTGGGAAAAGGCATGCTCCTGGGCAATGAGCCAACAGTGTCTGAAGGGATGGAAGTTTATGCTCTTTCTTTCCCTGAAGAAACATGATACTCACACCATGGTAAACACAATGCATAACAAAAATTAGGGGTAAAATTGCTTTATATGTAAGCTGAACATGTCTTTGAAATCTACAAAATCCAGACACAGTTAAGGTATTCAGTTTAATTTTCTCCATGCCATCATAAAACAATGTGATTTAAACTTGACCTCAGATTAGTTGTAACTAATTTTTAAAAACCCACTCCTCCTCTGGCATCACTACAGATCACAATTACTGTACCTGTGACTACAGTTACTTTAGTCCTTTAGACTTCTCTTACAGTCAATGGGTTGCACTTCATCTAATCTTAAAGTAGACCTCAGATCAGAAAAAGCACCCATCTCTTGTAATTCACACCAAAAGTAGCCTTGAGTGATGTCCTAGTTAGAACAGCTGGGACCAGTTCATCCCTGTATGGGTGTAACCCAAAACTGTGTATTCTATAGCCTTCCATGCCATTTCCCAGAAACTGTTATCAATGAACCATTTACACCCTCTGCCCATAGAGCCTGACTCCTCAGGCTATAAACTGGGTGTTAAGAGGCCTGTGAGACAGGAGGATGCTCCTGTCCTCACACCCATTGTGGAACTCCTCACCCTGAGGGAGGTACTGGGCATTCCTACCTGAACTGGAGGATATATAATCTTGGAGTCTTGGGACTTTTTTAACCACTCATGGGATCCAGAAGAAGACTGCAACCACCACTCTCGACTGGACTGCAACCACCACTTTTTCAACCAGACTGCAACCACCACTCTCGACCAGACTGCAATCACCACTCTTGACCAGACTGCAACAGCACTCTCACCAACAGGTTTTCCCCTCTCCTTTTACCTTGGACTCAGGGGGCCCAATGAACACCACTCTGTTCATGCCCCGGGGTGCTGGGTTATACATTTGGGTTTTGTGGGTTAAAACCAACTGTTTGTCTGTATAATCGTATTAATTGTATTATTTTATTAAATTGTTATTCTGACTTATAATCTCTCCTTTGAGTTGAGTTCATTTCCCCTGCTGGTTTACCTTTAAACCAGCACAAGTGACTACCTCATATGTACACATCTGCACTGCAGACATC